AGTTTCTTCCCTTTTAAAACTTATGAAACAGATGTTCTACATGCATGTTATTGTTGTCCCTGAATCTTAATGAGAAAACTTTTATTTCTTTACCGTGTTACCCAAAAGTCATATGCTTTGGAATGCTCAGTCGTTTTGGAGGCAGTAGGATTAAATATCTCATAAATTACATTTCTATTCCACAACTGAATTATTTGGTTACTTCTTGATTTATTTAAATTCTCCTATGCTCAACACTTTAGCCTTCGGTAACATTTGCCGATTAACATCATTTTCAGAGTTCGCTTTCAACTCACAGTTACTCTGATGGTGATGGGTTCTCTAAGCAAAAGGGCTTCATGGTAAAGTTTTCATCGTTATTCCATACAACATCATCGACACAAACTTCACAAACAACTGAGCTGTTGGATCTTTGAGTAACGTCCACACGTTCGACTTGGCTGGCCCCAATGGTCATGGTCTGTCACTGGAACTTTAAGAGGCGGTTCCCGAGGTTCCAGTGAGAGATCATGACCAATGGGGCCAGCCAAGTCGAACACGTGGACGTTACTCAACATCGTTGTTGCATGGAGGTCGCGGTATATCATGAAATGAAGGAAGTAGGAGGCATGCACCACAGGAATCGGACCCAGTGACTCAGTGGTAACTTGCTGACTGCGGGAGCTGAAGGTCGTGGGTTCAGTCCTCGACTGGGATATTGATGCGCGCTGCTGAAGAGTCCCACACTGAAACGAGACAGCTGTCCAATGTCTCTCCAACTGATGTCAGTCCATGATGAATACCAACCTGAAGTCAATAAATGCCCACAAAACCTCTACGTTGAATAAACAAATTTGTTAGTCAATGATAAGTGCTTTTGAAATACACATGTAGAAGTAACGATAGTGATAGTTTTAAAAAATAACAACAGTGACAGTCATGGTGATATTGTTAGCTAAATAAGTTGGAACACAGTTGATAATGATGTTAAGAACCAAAAGACAGCATGGTAATGTGTACACGTCGATAATCATAGTGGGTCAAACGCTTGTAAAAATGAAAGTTTCGTAATCCCACAGGAAGAAGTAAGTGGATAAACAAAGTTTAAGCAAAAATAGTAACTACTGGAAAGTGGTGAAGAATAAGGATGTCACGGAAACTTCCAGTGATGAATCCATTTATTAAGTAACCCTGGTCAAGTAAGAGGTAAGGAATTTACTAACCTCATTTGGACAAGAAGACTATGACTATTAGATTTAATTCTTGCTGTTGACCAGTCAGAATACCAATAGGAAGATTAAGTGGTATGCAGTGGATAATCGACACAGTGAACACTATCAACCAGATTAGATAAAACAAAGCTTCCATTTCCCACCCACGAAGGTCTGTGTTAAGCAACACATCTTTTGAGTTGGCAAGTAGCACGCACTGCAAAGCTTTCTCCACATAAGCAGCTAAACTTGTAACTGCACAAGAAAATGGCAAAACTAGATAACTTATCTTCCACTTGAGCAACAATGACTGGTCGACTGGAAAGTGATCTGCAGAGTTCTGCAGCTCAGAAAGCCGTCTTAATGGCTTTAAGTAGTCTCTGATATAAAACTTCTCTGAATACATCTCCACTGAACTACAGTTTGATTAGCAGCGGGGCTTTTCTGTATGGTAAAATAACTGAATCTTTACATCTTCCCGCTTTTCCGTATGCTTTTTTGTGAAGCTGTTATGGTAGCCTATTTCAGTCAGTGAGATATATATATATATATATATATATATATATATATATATATATATATATATATATAGTGTAAATCTGTATGCATAAAATCATCAAAATTTTTTTGATCAGTTGGGGGGCTTTTAACTAGGAACACTATGTAACCAATTGATATATGGCTCGGGAAATTTGTAGTGACCTATAGATACGGTTTTTTTGTACACAAACCTGCTGAGTAAGGCGTCTTCTCTTCTACTTAGCAAGACACTCATACAGTGAAAGCTGCATCTCATTCAATTTCTCTAACAGTTCGTTTAGAACCAAGTAACTATACAAGATAGTTAATGTGTCTTCTAATGGTGCTTTTTCCTATTGAACAAGAAATACATCAGCTTAAATTGGACCGAATCGTGACCCCATAACTGTACCATGAATTTTCACCTAATGTGTACTATTGAAGACAAAATGTGCATTCAGTAGGCATATAAAAGCAACTGTTTGAGGATTTGCACTGGAATCTTGAGACTGATTTGCTTTTCAGATATTTGTTTTCACACAAATTCTATTGTCTCCATTAATTGTACACTAATAAATAATGACGAGACATCAAACGATATCATATGTTTCTAGTTTACATTAGTATCAAAGGTGTCTTTCACACTGTTATTTTTATGTTCTTTATGTAAAACATCTGAAATCTTTATAGCCACTTTGATACTCCACAGCATAGAGAGATGGGAATGTCCTAAGACTGGACGAGGGGGAACTCCAGGTTTTTATGCTTTAGGCAGACCATAACAACACAGCGTGCTACTCCCCGACTGAGTTGTACGTAGCCTCCGAAACTGTCCCACCTTGTTTTACCTACCTGAAGGTATCTGTTATAAGTTTCTCTTCCCTTCCATTCACGTTTGATGAATCACTAGGTCACTGAAACTTGGTCTGATCATTAAGAACAACAGTCATTTTGTAGATGCAATCTCCCCTACTCTACAGTACTACATCTTCCCCTTGATTTGGTTTATACGTGATTGCATTTACATCTTTCTTCAGCATGGACAAAGCTTCTTGATGTTATTTTGTCACCAAACTGTTTCAGTAATAATGGAGGTATGTAGCTCATTCTACAACTTGAATTCCGTCGAACACGGCCTCCTGTATCAGCCAAGGGTTCAAATCCAATACAGTTTTGCAAAGAATTACAATTAATATATTCTTGATGGTTACTCATGAAAGTTATCTAGGGGAGACTGAATACTGAGTAGTCGATTTAGGTATCGCATTCTTATTACTGAGTATGATGATGGATGTTTAACCTGTTTACTGTCTAACTTTCATGTTGATTACTGATTGTTCTCTACCGAAGTATCCTCATTGCATTGACTATAATCATCTGCATTTAATTTCATCAGAATTTTCGTTATATTGTTGGCACTGCATAAAAGAAGCTAACTTTTGAATTCAACCAGTGCTTGAAAAGCCTGAAATAATTCCCAGCTTTGAAATTTCAATCCATATACCTATCTTTAAATGGTCAGTCTAAAATAGCAGACTGTAGAAAACAGTTAAAAGGTTTATTCTGCTCTGTGAAATGAATATCAAATTGTCTGAGATGCTGAACAAATGATGGTGATATAGCTTGAACAGTGTTCCCTTGTGTTTCCATCATGTGTCACTTCTTTCTCGATTACGGTATGTATGATTAAACCAAAAAGTTCTGATTTTTAAGCACTGAGAACGTCCCATGTCTCTGTTCACGAATTTTTAGATTACAAATTAATCTTAGGACTATGGTTTATTGGGCTCATAAGGTGATGGTTGTGACCTTTGAAATATTAGATAACACCAAGTTGCACGACATCTGCGTGTTAACAAAGTCAACTGCTACTGTTAATATATTTACATTGGAAGAAAACCTTCCAGCGTGACTCAGATAAGGATTAGTAGAATCTATCTAAAGCTCAATAACTACCCATCAAATGAATACTGAGTATAGGACTGCTAGAAACTCAGCACTCGCTATTTTATAAAAAGTGATATCACAAGCTTGTGTTCGCCCGATTCCTAAGTAAAATAAAGACCATACAATTTAAAATCTTCAAACCAAATTTATGTATGCAGATGTTTGTTCATTCCCTTTCCCTCCCATGGGCTTAAAGTTCAACTCAGATACGACTACAATAATTTTCTTTTAGGTCAGTGGTATACATGTAAATATAATTTGTTTACGCTTTTCATTATCATAATAATAAAACTCCGCTTTGCCTTCATTTTTACATTTTGTCATTAGTTTCAGAAATGATAAAGAATTTAAACACTTTATTATATAACTGCTGTACGACAATCATTTTTTCTCCTCTACGCTACACAATCTACTCAAACATGTACAATGTCTGACCACTGAAATTACATTGATTTTCAAAAAAACATTTTGTTGCTGTTATCCACTTTATCTTTGAATTCATGTATCCAAACTCCATTAACCATAATAGCACCAAATAACCAGGTCACATAAGTTTTAAATGTAATTATAAAGCCTGACAAGATTTTGCCGAAAATACGTATTTATATAGACGCTTTTTTTCAATTATTTCTTCGGGGATATTTGAAGTTTGTGTAATCACTCGAATGAGAAGAATTAGAGTCTAGATTCTTACAAAAAATGTAGGAGTAAACAAAATACTACGATATTTAAAGGTAATATTAACTATGCGTCAATTTTTAAGTTAACCTTTTTTATGCTGACAGACTAGGAAGCGTTAGCTCTGTAATCATTGACTTAATTAGACTTCAACCTTTATTGTTTATTCAATTTTAGGAAATGCGTGTTAGGAAAACCGTTTTCATGTTATCGTACCTTAAAAGCTTCTTATTAATTTGATTGTTTTATTGATAACATAGCATTTTCCTACATTTTTAATCTACTTTTTGCTTTTCAGGCTTCTCGTAAAGGAAGTAGTTTTAATCCTATGCACAAAGACAAACTGCAAACTTCTCTCAATTACATGAAAATCTCTGAAGTCTGAAAATATAAATGACAGCGAAAATAATTAGTTTTTCATGCTGTGTTTCCGCTACCTGGCGCAAGACTTGCACTACTGATATATTGCAAACCGTGCTTACTTATGAGTAAGAATTCTATAGAGAGCTTATTCACTGATATTTCATGTCATTTGCTTCATTTCAAACACATATAACTACTTAGCAATGAACATTTGTATATGTACTCCTTAGATAATGAAAAAACATTGCGCAATAGTGATATGATTGCATGACTAAGTAAAAATTACAAATCAGGTTGGCTTACCTTTCAAGCAGATATTATTCTTCAGTAAACTGTTTGAAACCACTTTAGATATCTTTTTAAAAATAGATCATAATAATGTTTTCACACATGTAACTTTGTTAGATTAAAAAAGGAATGTTAGCACAGCAGAGAAAATTTTTAAAATATAATAATCAGGATGAATAGGAAGGAAATGATTCATCTAAAAATAATATAAAACCTGGGTGTCATAAAAAAAGTTAATTGAAGCATTTACCTGATTGGTTGGTCTAATATCAACCAATGAAAATACAAGGAGAAGAATTCATGTGAATTTTGAAGAATCTGGATTACTTTTTCTAAAAATATTAGTTTTACTGTATTTGAAGAAAACACTGCTATTTCTCATTTCCCAGGTAGCATCTGTATATACAGTATTTCTACAAAAGCAGTTGAAATAATTCATAACACATCAGAAATGCTAATGTTTTGAAAAAAAATAACTTTATTCTCTCAAAATTAGTATAGTTATTAACTAAAAATCCTTCACACTTAACTGGTAATTATTATTTACCACCCAACAAATAACAGGTGATTAAATATCATTTAATAGGAGGATGCAATAAATCAAGTAATTATCTCATGGTAAATGTTTTTACTAATTTCCAAGGTGAATATAATGTTAGGGCCGAATTTAAACTTTAGTTAGATTAAATGCCATTTGTTCCTCGTAGATGTCTTAAGTGATGATACAGTCACTGAAATTTCATGTCAGGTTAGCAGATTCTGTCAGTATAAATGTAAAAAACTACTATTTCACCTTTCTCTAGGGCTGTTCATCAGAATGGATCTTTAAATATTTCCCTGTCCTAATTTCTGACTAGTAAGCTTTATCTAAGGAAGTGAATCTTAACTCAGTACATATGGTCTGATCAAACAAACGTTCAGAGATTCATTTAGTTTTCGCGATACTATTACCTTAGCCCAGATCATTGTACGTCTGCCTGTCATCAAAAAGTGCCTGGAAGGTTTAGGAAGGCAAGAATTTGTGATAAACGCCATAGTCTCCTTTGAATAAACTTAGCAATTTGTCAGAAGGTAAGTTTCCAACTATCCTGTACAAGATATGTAATTTAAACGTCTTAGATAATGTGTTTTGAGGCTAATGGGGATTTTAATCTCAAGATAGTATTCATCACATGCTGATATCAACTGGAGAACCACTGAAAACTTGTGAGCACCGGACAGCTGTTTCATCCAAGTGTTGAGCTCCTCATCAGCATGCACTAACGTACCTGCTAGACGTCGAACTCAGGACCTCCAGGTTTCACGGTGGCTGCGTTAACCATTCAGCCACTGGGTTGGCGTTCAATGATCTACAGTTTCCCACTCCTGTTAGTTTGCGATATAATGCAACTATCATCCAAGGTCTTCAGTTGAAATCCATTTCACTTCCAGTTGACTGATCCACCAGGTTTCGTCTTCTCATTAGAACTGAAGGGTACACATCCTGAAGCATGTCACCAATGAACAGTATACAACAGTGTATTTGGAGGTTAACAGGGATTCTAATTTTAAGGTAGCATTTATCATCGACTGATTGTTATATTACTAACTGATGTTATTTCATTATTCACAAATGTCCCACTATTTGAAAAAGTTTGTTTTATATGTGACTACATTAAGTGAAATGCAATTAACATCGGTATACTGATAAAACTTTTGAAAGAACTACTGTTAAGATTCACACATAATGTAACAACTCCGAACAGCAAAAGGAAGGGGTGGCAATGGAATCATCATTGGGTACACTGTTAGTAGGCAAGTTTAGAGCAAGACTGGAAACAACTATACACAATCCAGTTATCAGGCAGTCTAAATTCTATAGAAGATATGTCGGTTATATATTCGTCATTTACGACAAGACCTGTGACTTACAGGAAGTAATTCAAGATTTTAGTGAATACTACTTCTTCATCAAATTTACGATAAAGATGGAATCACACCCAAAGAAATCATTTGGTGATTCACAGTCAACAAGAAGAGATGATGGGACATAAAGGAGAAATCTATCGAAAATTTATGTAGAACGGACGGATGAAAACCTTTGATATTAAGGTTTCCATAGGTCAAAAACAAAAGATAATTCATTGTCTTTCCTCTTAAATGGGGAAAGCTTTTGTTTCCGACACTTCGCAAGACGAAACTGAACGTTTATCAGAAACCAATACCCAGAGATATCTATAAGTAAAAATTTATATCAAAATAATGCCATGCGGCTTATTTTGAGCTTGGAATTTAATGGAGATGCAGACTAATGAAGGCTGTCAAAAGAAATATTCTATGCAGCCACTCTGAAAATCATTTATACTAGTCACCCAATGGTGAAAACTTGTATGAAGGACAAAATATCACCACTAGCCACTTCAATATGCGTATATTAATTCACCTTCTTCTATGGAGCTAGACACATAGACTTTACGCAATGGCAGATTTTCTAAGTCTACCCCAACACCTTCTAGTATAGCCCAGTAATAACGTAGATAAATTAAGAGCTCAATGCTACAATGTTTAATCAACAACTTGACCGTCCAAAAAGTGCGAGAAGACATTCATTTTGCATCAATGAAACTCTAGCAACCCTAACTCCAGAAACTGGAATTCTGTATCCAGAAGTAACTCTACCCTTCCTTTTCCTTATTCATTTCTTAATTTTTAAAATTTTTAGCTCTTAAGCTCAATTAATCTTTTACTTTTCACATCGTTACTACATAAACAACTTTTTTCTGCTCGATTACAAATTTTCCACTCCTCTGCTTACCAACAACTGTCTGCTCACTTTGTTACGAATTCTTTACTTCTTCATTTCATTCACATTCACTCTCGTCGTCAAATATTTTCATGTTTTCTTATGTAATTTCCATTCCTGTATTACTTTTATAACCAGGACCTAATAAAGTTGAAAAATATTAACATTTTCGAGCACAATGACTATGTTTAAATACAATGGTACAGCTGCGGAGGATGATATTGCCGTAAACAAATTTGTTTGCTGAAATCTACTTTTTTAGGATGATTGTCGAGGCTAAAGAACTCAAACATCCCAGAAAAACTAGGACTTATTAATCAATACATTTAATTTTGTTACGAATCTTTTTTTATACAAACTACTCATTGCTTAAGATCCTCCTCATTTCATAAGTTTCTTAGGTCAAACATCCTATAATGATGCATGATGCAGATTCAGTCAAGAAACTATTCTTGACTGAAATAACTTTATTATATCCCTATGTGAGGTGAATGAGTGCAACAGTGAGTGACCTTACTTACTTACTTACTTACTTACTTACTTACTTACTTACCTACTTACTTACTTACTTACTTACTTACTTACTTACTTACTTACTTACTTACTTACTTACTTACCTACTTACTTACTTACTTACTTACTTACTTACTTACTTACTTACTTACTTACTTACTTACTTACTTACTTACTTACTTACTTACTTACTTACTTACTTACTTACTTACTTACTTACTTACTTACTTACTTAAAACCACCCACTTAGCCTCAATACGTTTCTATTCTCATTGGCTGACATTCTGAACAGGTTACCTACGTGTTTAAGGCCTTTAACATTTTTCATATATTCCGTAAAACACACGATTATGTACTATAGAGTAGAGTTCACTCTTTTTGTCTCTGAGTCAGCTGATTTGAGGTAAATAGTAGTCGTTTAGTCAAATCTGAACGTAGCCATCCTGGGGTAATAGTTGTAGATAACATACACCTGGCGTTAAGACCAGAAAAATCGGTCATACCATAGGGTCAAGAGCCTAGCGCACGTGAACACACGTGAGTGAACACAATGATAATAATAATAATAATTCACTTTATTCTAAACAAGTGAAATGCATATTCTAAAGAGACTTTCTCGATTTCTTCACTTTTTGTTACTTAATTAATGCATAAAATTTCTTAAAAAGTCTTGTTTAACCTGACTTTTGTATCTGAATCTCGTCTGACTTAAAATGCATATTTTAACATGGATACGTTACTTCTTGATTTCATTCACATTTACTGTAGTTGTCAAATACTTTCATGTTTTTTTATGTAACTTCCATTCCTGTATTACTTTCATGACCTGGAACTACTAAAAATTGAAAAATTCTATATCTATGTTGGCTCATTTTTCTAACTATTGAAATGTTATTGCTTTTCTCTTTTAGACACTAGTTTAATAGTTCAGTATCTGTTTCTTTAGCAATAAAAATGATTTTTTTGGCTTCATTGACTGCCAATTACAGGAAACCACTGTTTTTGTTTAGTAATCACCTTACTTTATACTGTATGTTACTTTTATTATCCTATCGTTATTTGTACTGGATTGATCAGTCTTTATTGGCATATGGGCTCACTACTATAAAACTGAAATACAGGCATTATCGAGGCATTCGCGTAGGAGCAGTCAACGATGGGATAATTCTAACCGCAATATAAAAACTATACCCGTCACACAAGAGGCACCTATTGTGACTCGGTAGCCTTGTGGATAACGCTGTGCCGTTTAAAGCGTCCGGTCTCGAGTTCCAGTCGTGAGGGAACAAGATTACTAACTGGGAAGTGAGCGCATTCAGCTGACGTGGCAGAAATAAGAAGAAACGCACGTCCTAGATCCCACTGCTAGCCACTACCCATCATTAATATCAAATCATCCTACTCCTCTGATATGTTAGCACTCAGAATATGACATTCTCAAATGGATTGTTACTAACGATAATTATCTACAGCATTACTATGTACGTTTTAAAAATACAGTCAATGAATTCAGGCATTTCTATGCACTTTAAGTTCTGAATATCATTTAAACCTGCTTTTTACATGTCTGAAGTTTCATTGGTTAGGTTTATCCGCAAATGAAATTCCTTCTGGTGATATTCAACTTCAATCTTCTACAGTTCTTAACTTAAGAATGATATTTTGTCTTACAGAATTACGTAAGTATACAGGTTCTTCTTTGCATTTTCAGCCTATTGAGTACATGTTATTTTAAATTCTACTGGTCAGTAGATATTTAAGATAACAAAACAGGATTTGAAAAGAGGAATTCCCTTGAATATTACATCATCATTGCCAACTTTTATTTTTGCAACCCACAGTATTTCATTTCACGTTGAGTCACCGATGATGCTCTTCATCATCATCACCATCAATATCAACAAGGACCAGGCATTACTGCATAACGATCCGAGTTGCCACACCTCATATCAGTACATCAAGTAAAAAGGTAGTGAGGTGAAAGATGAAGATAGGAAAATCAAGTCCAAAGAAATATAAAGTACGAGAAGAAAAAAAGAATGACAAAATGGTGAGATTCGGTGTAGCGCCCTTAAGATTAGGATAATATATGTATACATCTGCGCCACTGACAGGGGTTCTCAGCCATATCACCACCTACAGTCTCCAACCACTGGTTCCTCTTGTCCCGCGGACCCTAACCACCAAGTCTGCATAGCCCCACATGACTCAAACCAACAGTCAGAGACTTCATACATTGGTGCCATGTTTTAGTCTGGCCGCCTCGCACCTTTTTCTAGCCTGAACCTACTTCGGCCAACATTTTGTGACGAGGCAATCGGTGACTAGGCATACGTAGTACGTGTCCCAACCATCTCAGTCGATGAAGGTTCACAACCTCGTCAACTCACTTAACTCTTCTCTATAAAACTCTACTCCTGACTTCTGCATTACTCACGTGGTGACACCACGCAATACGGCCTATACTACGAAGGCAACAGTGGTCAAACACCTGAAGCCTTCTCATGTCTTCCACCTTCAATGGCCATGTTTCACAGCCATACAGTAGAACAGAGCGGACTGCTGTGCAGTACACGCGACCCCTGGTAGACAAACGGATATCACGGCGGCGCCATAGGTGGCGCAAATTGGCAAAAGCCAATCGAGCCTTTTGTATCCGTGCAGAAATCTCATCGGCAACTAACCCACC